AGCCGAAGGAAGACGCTTAATGACTGAGCCACCCAGGCGCCCGAAAGGGTCTTTTTCTTAGGCAGCCTCTCACATTCCAGGGTCCAGTGGGACAATAGCAAAGGCTAGACCATTCAGGTGTGAGTTCTCATCAGCTTTTTATGGAGTACGTGATCAACAGCAATGAAAAGAACGTGCATTTCTGTTGTCTTCTTAAAACAGAAATGCATGGGGGTGCCTGGGTGACTCAATCAGTTAAGCATCTAACTTTGGCTCAGGTCATGGCCTCTGGGTCCTGGGATCGATCCCAGTGTTGGGCTCCCCCGCTCAGCAGGGAGTCTGCTTCTCCCTTTCTCTCTGCCCGTCCCCCTGCTCGTGCTCTCTTTTTTTCTCTCCCTCTCTCTCTCTCTCTCAAATAAGTAAAATCTTAAAAAACAAAACAGAAATGCATAGAAGATTATAGGAACCAGGTAGCGTTCTCTAGAAATGTGTAAAACCAGGTTAAGCGCCAGTGGAGCATCTGTCTGGCCATGAGAAGACTTATAAATCCCACAAGCAGTGTTAGATATCACTAAGGAAAATGTCTTAAAGAATGAAGGGCCCATGCATGTGACTCCTGAGCTGTCTGTATAAAATAAACTTAACAGTATTAAACAGCAGTAGATAAGTAAAAAAAGAAAAAAAATACCTGAGTGCTTTCTATGCTAGTACATGACGTTGCTAAAGGGAGTTGCTTAATAGCTTTTAAAATTAGCTTCCCAGACCCATTTTGGCTCTGAGCCCCCAAAATTCAATAGAGTATATTGAAAACTAAATAAAGATCGTAACCCAATAATAAGAGTTTTTATAATTTATTAAGCTTTTACTTGATCTTGAATGATGATTTATTTATAATTTATGATACTTCATTAAAATAATTTTTTCCGTTGAATCATGTAAGACAAATATATTGTGATATAATTTTTATTTAATTTGTGATGCCTTTTGTAATGGTCAGAAGACTCATGTGTTTGTGAAGGAGGAGATAAGCTGCTTTTAAAGCTAAAAAAATGATAGAGGTCCTTAAGTCTTCAAATAATTTTTACAGGTCTGGGGTAGGGGCAGGTGGTTTAAATCTCTAGCAGTATTTTATTATGACTTTTTACTCTTTTGTGACATGATCTTTTTTTTTTCTTTCTGCATCTGTGCTTTTATTTTCTCTACTCTAAGTACTAGCTGTATTTACTTTTTTCTATTTAATATTATACTATGTAAGACCAAGAACAATTTGAACGTTGAACAGCTAGTAAAAGTGATCCAAACATGCATAGACTAGACACGATTAAGACGCAAGTGTAAAGACTTCAGCAGGAGGTTCTAGTAACATTAAAGCACAATTTACTGAACCATACATCTGGTTATAGTCTGAAGAGTGACAGTGAAAATAAGCACTTAATTCATTAAGAATATTTATTGAGGGGGTGCCTGGGTGGCTCAGTCGTTAAGCGTCTGCCTCCGGCTCAGGTCATGATCCCAGAGTCCTGGGATCGAGCCCCGCATCCGGCTCCCTGCTCAGCGGGAAGCCTGCTTCTCCCTCTCCCACTCCCCCTGCTTGTATTCCCTTTCTCGCTGTCTCTCTATCTGTCAAATAAATAAATAAAATATTTAAAATACATATATATATTTATTGAGGCCTCTTTTGTGCTTGTCATTCTGCTAGAATATGGGCATCTATTATCATGGTTTAAAATCTAACATTATGGGCGCCTGGGTGGCTCAGTCGGTTAAGCATCTGCCTTTGGCTGAAGTCATGATCCCAGGGTCCTGGCATGGAGTCCCAAGTCAGGCTCCCTGTTCAGCGGGGAGTCTGCTTCTCCCTGTCCCTCCCCCCTGCTTGTGCACTCCCTTGCTCGCTTGCTTTCTCTCTCAAATAAATAAATAAAATCTTTTAAAAAATTTAAAAAATCTAACACTAATTAAATATCTAATTAATGGGCATTTCACACGCCTTTTTCAACTCTAGAGAGGCTTTTATCAGATTATTTAAAATCACCTCCAGAAGAATTTTTAGGAAGTTTTTATTTTCTTCTACTTTTTTCTTTAGTAAATTTCATTTGATCTTAGAGTTTTGTTGAAAGTATGATTGCACTTTTCAAAAACTGCCATTATAGCATGTATATATTTCAATCCATTGCCAGGAATTTCATTTTAGATTAAATTTAGGCGATAACTTAGATCTGGACCTTTGGCTGACTTTTTCTTTAATAACAAAATATTAAGGCAAACCTGGAGGCAAAAGAAATTACAGCATGTAGACTGAAGGATATAGGTGCTTATGATCCAATATCATACTAGATATTTTTACAGAAGTGAATTTCTAAGAGTTTTTAAACATGAAAAGGCAGAACTGCCTTCCACCTCCCCTTCCTATATGGGTGAAGTGATGTAACAAATTAGGATATAGTAAAAAGTGAAGACTGACTAAGCTTTTCAGATTTGAGGTATCCATAAAGAGAAACGATAAAGAGGAAAAAAAGGAAAGTAATACATTCGTAGTTTGTTGTTATTCTAAAAACTCATAAAGCAACATTACAAATTAACTGGTATTAAAGACTCTTTCTTGCCCCCTCCTTCCCCAATGTCAATCCTACATGATGTAATTGCTCCTAAAAAAACTTTTTGTCTATAATTACTTCTTTGAATTCCTTGTCATTAGGTATAATTGTTAGTAGGTCTGAGTTGTTTTTTGTTCTTTTCAAAAATTTCTGAGCATTTATCATTTCAATATTTAAGAAGGCATTCATAAAGAAATTCTGGAAAATAGATGGTCACAGATACAGGCAAAACATGTAAAGTGTCCAGCTGTGGGTGAGTGACCAGAAACACAGTGGAGTCAGTACTAGAATGAGAAGGAAAACCACTTACTGGATAAAGAGCTTTCAGTCCTGGGGTAAATGATGTCTATTTTTGGTGGTGTTTATCCTGATAATTGAGTAAAAAAATTTTTGTTAATAGAACACATAGTTGGACCACATGCCAACTCTGTCTTGGAAGTGTACTACTTTGCTCTTTTTGACCTGTATACAAATCTTGCTTCTTACTCTAGAGGTATTTTTCATAATCCAAGATTTATTCCTTTACAAGACAAATGACTTACATAGTGTACATGGTGTTGACATCTGTGAGCGGCATACATTTGAGAACATGTTCCCAAGTCCTGAAATCTTATAGGCTGAGGGACCTTAGAACCTTTCTAGGCTAACCTTTGTGTTTCAGGTGAGGGAACTGAAGTCAGAGATGTTAATTGGCCAAGTTTATACTCCAGTAGCACTGGGACTAGAACTCGCATACTCTACCCAGCCTGATGCTTGGTGGCTTACCCCCATCATTTTCTTGAATGTGTTATGTGGGTTGTTAATTGAGGCCTAATATGCTAATGTACTGTCTGACCTCAGTGGACCCCTTATTGAGTTCTTGGGCCTATTTTGAACCTTCTCTACTCTCAGAAAACCCAGCCAAAGCCTGGTGCTAGCATTCCTAGCAGATGTCTGGCCAATAAGAGTTAGATTGGCGGATTCCCAGTTTCTTTCTACTCTATAACCCACAGATGATTCATCTTAACAAGCAAAAACTAAATAAAATTCTTTTATTTTTTGTCTAATATGAAATCATCTGCACATCCATTCAGTAAAATTTTATTGAGCAGTCAGTGAGGGTTCAATGGTGAGCAAAGATAGACACGGTCTCTATTCTCATTGAGCTAGTCTAGAGGAGGCATACATTAATCAACTAATGAACTAATGAGAGCCTGATTACAGGAACTACATGAAGGAACGCATTTCCATGATAGTCTGTAATAAAGGAGTCTGACCTGAACTGTAGTCAGAGAGAGCTTCTCTAAGGAAACAACATTTGAATGGAGACCTGAAGGGTGGGTTGGAGTTAACAGAGCTCAGGGCTGGATGTTGGGAGGATTTTTGACAGAGGAAGCAGAATTTCTTCTTGTGGTGGGAGAGAGCATGAGGAGTTAGAAAGGGTGAAAGAAGGGGTGGAGGACAGAGAAGAGTGACAGAGTGGAGGCCTGAGAGGTAGGCGAGGCTGGCTGAGTCACAAGTGCCTTACAGGTCATGTTAACATTGTAGACGTTACGCTAACACAAAGAGGCAGCCGCTGAGACTGTGTTGAT